TTAGTCGTGTCCGATGTCGGGAAGCGCTTGAACTGTGATTAAGGACGATAACTCGCGAGGGCCGGCAGACGGCGGGTGCTAATGCCACTTTTGTCTCTTCTACGCTACATAACTCCACCAACCCTAATTACCACTGAACTCCACTCACGACACATAAAAGGCAGGTTTATAATGTCTTACACACGCTTTGTCATTTGACTGACGTATGTAATCCTTAGAGGTTTATAAATAAAAAGCATGCGTCTATTTGATGAAAACTGTTTTTCAATTTTCGTAAATTTATGTTTCGATCAGTCGATAAATAAAAACAAGTTGGAAGTTTTTTAATCGTAACTTCTTGAGGGGAATGCAATTTATTGTTTTTAATTTGCCGATACCTGGCCCCGATCATTCGAATCTCTGGTATAAATATTGTTAGCCGTCAACACATTTAGTGTTGTTCGTACGATTTTACGTCGATATTTAGATATACTGGTACTAGGTGTTAGAGACGCCCAAAGTAAGATGTATCTACAGCTAATAAAAGTGTTAAAATTATTAAGGACTTTTGAGCTATTTTAGACACATAATTTTCTACAAGAATCATAAAATAAATAAAGTAAGCATAAAATACATTAACAAATATCTGAAATATACGTTGTTTATTCAAACTAGTATCTAATAAAGTATTAGGTACATTGTTACAGTGATTTTGAAATACTGTCGGTATTTTACATCTTGACATTTTCAACCGCGTACTTCCGGTCTGAGACAATTAGTGACTTTTTTTTATAACACTAATATTTCATTTTTAACTTAAATTTTAATGAGTTTAATTACTTTGTGCATTAACGCTTGCAAATGCATGTAATGTCTGCATATTATCAAACCTAATTATGAAGATGTTTCCTGTGCACTACACTTTATAGACATGTCTCTACATAATTAAGCTTATTTCCCCAAAAACAAAAAAAAAAAAAATATTGGTGGTTTTTTTAAGAAGACCTTCCCCAAATTTTTAGAATTAAAAGGGTTAAAAAAAAGGGTTTTTTTAAAAAAAAAATCAACAAAACAAAGTACATAGCTTAACTACCAACTGTCGGTTTGTCTTTGCAATTATTGCTTTAACAACGGTTGGCTGGAGGAGATCGCTCTATAGGGAGAAGGTCGCCCATTGCACTCCATAACCTGTAAGAATAATTTATCGTTATAACTTGTTTATTGATATTAGGAAAAATCAAAAAAAAAAAAAAATGTATATGGTGAATGCTACAATAATTCAATTGTATGGATCAGCAATCGACAAAATCAGCCGTCTCTAGTGGGATGCGGTGGTTGGAACAAGTTGTGCAATACTGTAGCACCTGCGCCCGCCGTGTTTATCGTTCGACGTCGCTTGTACCCCACGGGCCAACCCCACTTCTTCATTTAACACTCCACTAAAATTGTTCTCGGTAATTACCTTCTTGTACTCGTTAACATTGCGCTACGCCGTAGAGCTCAATTCGTAGCTACATACATTATTTGAATGGGGATTGCTGTTCTAATATTTAAAAAAGGAAATACGGATTGATTAGGTTGAAATAAAGACAAACAAATTCTAAATTCAATTTAATTTGAAAATCGATTTAGGTACCGTGTTTCGTGAGCCATAATACAATTGTATTAATCCACTAGCTCAAATTGTCGCAACAGGACGAAATGCCATGTCGTGGGTTCGAGCCTCATGTTCGGCAAAATGTTATATTACCCTCATGTTCAAAAATCTGAAAATTAGCACAATGAGAAGGTACTGTGATCGTGGGTTCGAATTCCACCTGTTTCATTGATCTAATTTCTATTTACTTTACTTGTTGGAACTATACATGTTTAATATATACTTACTACAAAATGAATTCGTACATGTCGACTTTTTTAAATATTCGTTTATCTATAGTGAATACATTTTATCGAATCAAGCGAACATAATCTGTTTAATAGACACTTCAATCTATTAAAATCAACACCCGCCGTTCGTTTATAAGTGTTTGATGTTAAATCGAGTGCAAGAACAGCATTTAACCAGTGAGGATCCCCATTTAATGCAATTACGGAACCCTTCTGACCCTCGCACACTTTGTTTATATCATATTAGAGCGATTCAATGATTTACAGATCATTCTTCCTGATTAAAATGGGGTTAGAAGTGTTACTATTGGGTTAGCATTCGTTATAATTGAATGAGGATAATCTTTAACAGCATTTTAAGATATTCGTAATGTCTGATGACATAAGATGATCTAGGTCTACACAGTCGTTGATGTGATGACGTATCTGTAGCTCAGGAGTTACCGCTTCGCGTAAGAGGATCTGGAATTGAATCCAAAAGAAGTGTAGGCGCTTCACGCGCACCAGAATTCCAAAGAGCTTTCTTTAGTCCACAACTCGTAGTATTTATTTATGATAGAGGTTGACAGACAAGTTTGGGTTCATTTGAAAAGTGGAAATACAAAATACCGAAACGCGATTATGGTTTGGTACCCTTACTATGGTTTTTTCATCTGTGAACTGTGATTCGTGGCGCGGACGGAAATCCGATATTTCTACCACCCATAGATTTTCCAGAGTCCAACGTGTTCTAAAAAATAAAAAAATTATTAGAATAAAAATTACCGATGATTTATTGTTGACCTGTTATGAATAGTATTAATTGTCAATATAAAACTACTGACATGTATTTAAAATACAATATTGATCCATTGTGTTATCCTACATAAATATAACAATTATCGTTTACGCTAACTAAATTTCACAATTTTTTATTAGTATTGTGCCCTAACGCTCGTGTAACGATATATAGGTAATTAAGTTACTTTAAGTTGTGCATAAACATAAAAAAAAACATTGGTTATAATTCATATAAAATAATGTAATTAAGATTTTATAAGTTTAAATATATATAATATGTAAGTAAAGGCCTATTAAGATAAAATAATATAACGTAATTCATAAACTTTCAGGATACAGCGGACGTCCTCTCTTTATCAGCTCTCACGATAGTTTGACTGCACCAAAAACATAAGGTTGTCGTAGTGGGCGGGGCTTGCACACGTAACCCAATCAAATAGCAATATTCGCCCGCCGTCTCGCTCTCACCTGTATGTCCGTCTCGTCTTGCCGATTCTTCATAATATCGAGATCGTCATTTTTTATCGTCTCCCAAATGATTGCGAATAATATTAAAATAGAAGTTATCTTAACGAATTATCTAGATTTCATTGAAAAATATGTATTCAGCTTGATATTATCAACATTAAAATCTAATAATAGCTGAAAATGCATTTGAATAAAAAGGATTCAAGAGTTTGGTTAAATCCAACTATACCTTCCCATTGATATTCACCGTTTAAGGTATATCAAAGGGATAAAGTACAAAAGTGCCCTGCTAATTGATTTCTATGAATGGCCGACCCCTGCCGAGCTAAGGTGTGGTCACACTGCAAGCGTTAACCGATATTTACGTGGTGTAGAAGTAGGTACAGTGGATAATATACAATTTAAAATTCTTTGGTTTTAGTAGTGTATATAAAATAATAGGTTTTGGTTACAATTAAAACGTGTCAGTTGGTTGTGCAGTTTTTAGTTTAGAGTATAGGTATTGTGTAATAAAATTATATGAAGAGTATGTATCTACGTTGCATGGAATGAATAAAACTCGTTGTCAATTTAAAAGGCATTAAAAATGCAATTTTCACTTACTTTTTCATATTAAATAAAAAAACATTTGTTCAAAATAGAATTTGGTTATTAAAAAGAACATCATAAATGTTGTTAGATGTAAAAATAAATTATCCAACGTTGAACACGAAAGGGTCAAATCCCGGGGAAATATTTTTTTTTTGGTCAGTCAAGAGGCTGAATAAATTGCAATGGACACGGGTATTTGTCACTCCATGCCCTATAGTGAAAACGGGTTTTTCTTTTCCGCTTCCGCCTTTAGTAGAACCGCGCCTTGTTGTTTGCGGATCGCGTCCGGTCCGCCAACAATGAAACCGAGCCTTTGTTGTCCCACTCAATGCTGACTTTATAATTCGCCGTTTGGCTTTCGCGCTTATCTTTGAACGCGTTTCGGAACACGTCGTCGATCGCCACTTCCTGTCATATTTTGTGACACTAATCATATTTATTTACACATACATACATTCGATTTTTGAATTATAAAGTGCCTTCATGTGCGATAACATGTGAAAAATAATAAAGTTTTCATCAGTTATCAGTGTCTTATGAGAAGAATCCGATATAATATTTTTGATAATCCAATGTTTCTCTTAAAATGGCATCTTCCCGATGGGTCCATGAATATTTCGGATCTACCTATTTTCTTATTATTATTCTACAATGTATGTTTGTAATAGTTTGGTAGGTAGACCTACCATAAGTCCATAATAACTACGAATTAGAGTTATATAAAAGTATCACAAAGTTCCAATTAAAAATTATGACCACATCCGGCTCGAAACACGTCCAAATGAATGGAGAGAATACGCCACAATACACTATTTTTTACCCCTTATAATCCGATACGGCGGCATTAAGCCTTATTAAAAAGCTCTTCCCTTATCATATATTCATATTGTGTCCGTAAATAAATAGAATGAGCTAGGGAATAACTAAATTATTAATTTATTTTTTAAGCTTACTATTCACATGTGACGCACATGATGGCATTATATAATTTAAAAATAGATTTTAGACCTGTAGGAAATGACAGCTCAACACGTTAAAACAACAGTGCCTGGGTGTCTGTGGATGCCGGTTCAGTTCCTGTCTGTGTCATACATTTTTATCAATCGAGAATCGATTTTAATTCAAATAAATGTGTTTTGGGTAAATTCGAAACCAACTTAATAGTAAAGCTTAGTTAAAATTTAGTTAGGATTTTTGCTGTATAAGGTTGGATATCAAAAAATAATACTACATTCGCTACATTAAAAGTAATAAAACAGTTTTAAAACGCATTTAACACAATCTGAGAGCCAACAATGGTCCGAGCAGATGCGAAGTTAATGCCCGGGGTGTTTTATTTCCACGCATCGAGTGTCTGTCAATTAATAGAATATTTGTCACATAAATTATCCTCGACAAATATCCTTCCGGTGTTTAGAGCGCATCATAAAACTATTCAGTTGCCCTTATTATCCGGGACAATAGCGAGGGGGGGCCGGGCGGGGGGGCAGCTCGCGGGCCGCACCGCAAAAACTGCACCCGACTTAATTATAAAGAGACAAGAAGCGCCATTAAATACCGATTCGTTAAATCTACGCTCTCGTGTTAACACCGCGGTGCTCCGTCTCTTTCCACCATCGAAGGGACTGAGAGGAACGGCAGTACGTCTCCCGTGACCGCCTTCGATGGGCGGGGACTCGGATATAAGGTTTAGATTGACTGGGCGTTCTCTATTCACCGGTTTTTTTGCTCGCTCCGCTCAACGGAGTACGGTGAGCTTTTCATTCGGTGTCGGGCTTTACGCGGTGGCGTCGTGTACGCGTTTCGAATGGACACACCGAATTATTCGAAGCCGCTATCGACGGACTCTGGCTTTTGAATTTCGAACGTTACTGTGCGTTTTCGTCGAGTCTCACGTTGTGTTGATGTTGGACCGAAATGTATTGAACTCTGTCGACTTTCGTTGGTGTCAGTGAACTATCATTATGTCCGAGTTACGCGGTTCGCCGCCCATGTCTAGAGTCGCTCTGGAGAACGGTTTCGGGGCTCCGCTGGCGGCGTTGAGCTCGCTGGCGGAAGCGCCTCCGCCGGCGCCAAATCCTCACGGCATCGACCACATTCTGTCGCGGCCGACCGTCGGGTCTAATGTGGGAGCCGGCTTACTAACTCCAAGATTATCTTTGGCGGCGGCGGCGGCTGGCATGGCGCACTATCTCCAACACAAACCATTATACTGGCCAGGCTTCCAGGGACTCGTGTCCAACCCGATGGCGTGGAGAGAGAGGCTACAAACAAGTAAGTACTTAGACTGACGTATAATGTGTTGTGCAACGAAATATACGCACGTAAAAAAAGAATTCAACGAACGCGTACCTAATCTTATAATCAAATTACACAAGGTTATGATATACATCAATTTGATTTTTACTATTGCTAAGAAAACTATGTATTTGTTAATCAAGTTATTTTACTTAAAGCTTAACATCTAATATCGTTTGATTTAATAATAATGTCCTTGTTTAAAGTTTATTGCAATGATAATAAAGATAAGAGCTACATTAATGTTTATTCTGTAAATATAAACACAAGGAATACCTAATTATTTATCAATTAAAAACCAATATATCCATGTTGCACCTAATAAAGTTAAACATGCTTTGAAAATAGCCGTCGGCCGCGTCCGAGTACGTAATACCTATGTAGGTGAGAACAGTTAATGTTATCATTGAACATAGGTACCATTTTTTTATTATTGTAAATCAAAAGAATTTACAATATGTTTACCGACGGACTTTATTTTATGTTAATTGCATTTTTTTTATGATAGAGGAGAGAGAAGCGTGGGTAACACTTGATGGTAGGTGAAATATCACAGCTATATAACATCCGACCAAGATGTGTTGTTGACCTATTTTAGCTTTGGATATTGTACATATCGAATAAATGAAGTAGGTTAAAATATAAAATTGGGAATGTAGTTAAGCAGTAAGAATTAATTAAAAAACAATAATAAGATGTTAATTATGGGCTGGTTCTTATTCTTCTACGAAGTGTTTTTTTACCTTTACTGTTTTGTAATTATATAATGAGTAAATTTCTACTTCAAATGAAAGAGCTACCCAGGTATTTTATGCATGTTAGGTTCATAGATACGTAACGTTACTTCAACGAATTTTAGTAAGTATTCAATTCAAAATAAAGTCATCCCGTAACCGCGGCTGCTGCAAAGCATCCGAAACGTCGGGTCGTGGTTAAAATAAATTGTTAATAAGGTAACTGGTACATTTGAAACCGTAAACCGTGTTTTATTTAAATCTACTTTTGTCAACTACAAACGATTGGGAGCGTTATAACGTAAAACTTTATTTATTGAAATAGAGGGTTCTTTATTAAATAAATCCTTTATCAGCAGATAGTGTTTTAGATCCGGATAAGGCGCTAATAAAAATTAATTAATATGGCAATGTCGCGTTATCGATATCCACGTTATTACAGCGTATAATACTTGTAATCCGCTAATCTAAGCACTCGATAGATAGCAACTTAATTACTTATTACTATTAAGGAGCCCATCTAACTAGGAAATAGTAACTGTCTTAAATTGTGAGAGGCTTTCACGGACGTTCAGCTTGCCGTTGCTTTTCGGGATTATCGGCCGACGTGAGCGAGAAGAGGTCCTCGACGTTTCGACGGGTGGCATCATCACGAGATGCTAGCTCCTCGTTTGCTCGAAGTACTAACGTCGAGATCCTCTGCTCGTTCACGTCGGCCGAACAGCCCGAAAAACAATGATGAGCAGAAACTGTCCTCTTCGTATATTTAAAGGTTAAGTAGGAAATACATTAACAGTTTGAAAATTTTAACATTTTTCACATTGTGGCACTATATAAATTACAAATTGATTTTAGATTGTTTCTTTTTACGAGCTGGACATTTTTTTAAACATTAACTTTAATTTTTTAGTTGAAGTTTAGATATATTTTTCTGTATGTTTCGGAAAGTCCCATCCTTAATACAAAAATCTACAACTCAACAGCGTATCTTCTTTTGATGTTATTTTCGATTTTTTATGAAAGATATCTTAGGTACCTAACGTAAAATATCTTTCATAAAAAAGCAATGGTATTAAATTTTGGTCGGCCTTTTTTTTACTAAGAACAGAAATAAAATCCACGGAAAAAAAATATAGCAAAAAATAATTTTCTTTCATACTATAAATTTAATTTAATACTAAAATATACTGTTACTTATTATTTCTTCCTTTATATTTTTTCAATAGAAACATTAGGATTATTCTTTAAAATTTACTCGTTACCTACAAGTAAAATTTAAAATTTGTTGTAAAAGTAAAAGGTGTTGTGTACCCTAAGTGTCTAAGATAATGAAGAATGTATTAAAAAATAGAAGTACTTCAATTTTGATGATAAGTATATCTCACAGATAATATAAGTATTCCTGTAATGTTATTGGAAGTAATTTAGCTCTGGCAATTTTTATTTCTTCTAACTTTAAAACCTATACAATGCATTAACTTGTTTACAATTTTAGCTATAAGGGAGGATATAAAGTGGTACTTTGTTTTAAAATTATTCCTATAAGAATGCAACGTACCTATTGAAATCGATCGATTTTCAACTCAATGGTAGAGGCTAGGGGTTCTCCTTTTGATAGTTAAAATGTGCAAAATAAAATAAGATAAAATTATATAGCTTATAAGCTTATTTATATGTACATACTTATAGGTAGCAACAAAGACGGAATTATTATATTCCTGACAAAAGCAATCTATCACGCGAAATCGAATCCATGTTGGTTAAGAGCCATAGGCGGGGAGAATCTTAGTTCTGCGATTAGTCCTACGATGTAGTTAATTATGCCATGCATTATATACCAAGATTACATAAAGGGATTAGTTTGTAATTTAGTGAAATAATATTATGGAATATCTAATGAGATTATCTAGCAATACCGAATGGGGCTAATCCTCAATAATGCGTTACATTACCTACTTGATCGCATTGATCTGATACCTGATTACAATATATTGTCGCATAGTAGGCTATGTATGGTATATGTTGACCTATTGGCTTTAAACTATAAACTTACAATCGTTTCAAATGCTATATGTATTAAAATGTTGGCTGTAGAAAATCATATATAATAATTCGCCAATTAAAAAATCAACTTTTGATTGCAAACTTTTACGACAAGGGCGGGACTTCAACCTTCATCCACAACGTTCCGTGCTGCTGCTCTAACCAATTGACGTACCTAGACACCGTCACACGCTACCGTGTCATATAATGCTACCATGTGCAATAACATGTGGATAATATTAATACATTTTTAAGAGTTTTTTGGGTTCATTTTTGGCCTGGGCTATTATGAAGGAAGAAGGATTTCGCCTACCTTATTTACACATAGTACATACGACTTACAATATTTAAACCATAATATTGTATGTACGTATGTAGCTCTTACCTAGGAAAATAGAATAATATAATAACGCGAGCAGTACTCGTTTGTATAAAACACTCGTACCGATTTATAACGCGAAATGTACCTATTAGTTAAACATGCAAATTATTTCACTATGACCCGACATTTCGGCTGCTGCAATGTTAAATTCAAAGTGTTTTATTTAACTGTTGTAACTTTTAATAAGTTTTTGTTACATAAAAAATCAATCAAATTAATTAATAAAAAAATATGGCTGCAGAACAGAGCGGCTAGGTAAATACACGGGCTCATATTACAAGGAACAGCCGTCGGCCGAATAGTCAGCTTGTAATGAAATAATTGTAACGAATAAAGCCCGTGGCAATAATACGCAATTAACCGTCTCGTGTAATGGCGCACGTTTCAAAACACTTGATGTTTATTAAAATCACAATACCTTTGTTGACCGCGCCGATCTCTCTCATCCAACGCGAGCGATGCTATATACGGATATATCGCGCTGTTTGCTAGTAACATAAACGTTTTCTTGCTTGGTATTTGAAGGAACCCGCATCAAGAAAAAAATATGTAGTACTAAGATCTTCACGTATATATATGTAATATATGTAAGTACAATACGTGATGATCTTAAAATAAAACCTGTCGATAAAAGGAGCGGCGGCGAGTTCCTTGCCAGTTCTTATCGATTTGAGAACTGGTAGTAAATTTGAGTCTAGGTTTTAACATTGTGACTTCCCAGCTTACCAACGAGAATGAATGTTTTTGACTTTGACTCTTTCAAGTCGCCTGGTTATCAAAGACGTCAACAGCTGTTTACAATACTAATACATTGCTACAATTCCACCTGTGGCTGGCTCTTTGGTGTAATGTTAGCAATAGATATTAATCAACAGGGGGGTTTCGATCTAGGTATTAACTGGGTGATAGGAAAATCGAAATTCCATCCGAAAAGACGTCCACAGATGAAAAAGTTAAATTTCAGTCTGTGGATTTTTCAAACATATAATTCGACACCTTGTGTTATATTGCTGGGATAATGAATTTCACGGTTCAAATGTTTCAGAAAAATTATAAATTAATTATACATATTATGATAGTAAAATGTTGGACGCACAACCCGACGGTTATTACACATTATGTCCAGATTTCAAGTTACAGAAAAGATATAACTTGATTAGAAAAGTATTGCCCGTTGATTATATATCTATTGCTGCCATTACACCAACGAGCCCGTGAACTCTAAAATAAAATTACGTTTGTCATATAAATTTAAAGACTATGACCGATACTATGACGAACGTGTCTCTCTTTATCTTCAACTAGCGTCTCTCTTTGAGGACCTGCAGCTTATCGTGCATGGATATTATTAATTAGCGCAGGGTGGGGTTGCGGTCACACTGGGCGCTCCAATGAACTGAGACACATTTTTTTAATTGCCCAACCCCCCACCCAACGCGAACCTCCCCTCCGGAGCATATGTCGGCGAGGATTAAAATTGGACTCGCACTTTTAAAATGAAACGTTGAACTGTCAGCTCAAATATTATGGGATTCGTTATTGCGAGATGTTTTGTCTTGAATATTGTTTAATACTACAATTATTTTCAAATAAAACACAATATCATAACAGCCATGTGAACAGTCTGTTAGAAGTAGTTAATTATAAATTTAATTTACTTTTTTACTTTATGTCTGCTGTAATTCACGCTAGTAGTACACAATTAAAATAAAACGCTTTTTAACGGTTTAAAATATGTAATATATTCGGTCACATCTTTACAATTTATTCTAACTAATATACTTCGCGTTTTAAACCGTTACAAAGTTAATTAAACA